CACAACAGGTATGTATTTTTTATGATTCCTAAGTGGAAATCTTCCATGTTTTTAGATTTAGGACCGTCGGAGCTGGCCGAGCTTTACCCTTGAGGCCTGCCCTGATTGTTGACACTCATTGTAGGCCTAACAAATGTCGGGCTCATGTTACAATTTGTTAAACAGTCAAAGTTATGAAATGAACAAAGGAAATTATGATCGGTGCTGCGTCAGCATTCCTCAACTGAATTCTTCGCCGCCAGCGTACTAGTCCTGGCGTAAATCCCAAATCCTGTCCTTGCATTCAGCAGAGAACTAGTTTGTGTCCTGTCTACCAAAGTAACCTGTAACCTTTGCAAAAACTGTGAACTTCTCTGACCCTTTAATTCCGAGGAGTTTCCTGGTAAAAGCATTTAAGCCCATGTCTTATCTAAAATCACGCATCAGAGTATTGTACCCCCGATAGCGTAAAGTGGGTGAGCATGTTTATTGTCCTAATAAGCCTATAGCTATGATAGGACATGCAGGTCCTTTCTGCCTATAGGCCGGGAGTATCTATGACTCGGGTAGTGTACTCCCTCCCATACCTCCTTAATGACATCTTTCCAGCAGTAAAACCCCTACAGGCCTTCATTCGAGTACACTCTAAGAGGAGCTATTATCCCTTTATTATCTCCTCTCTCCAGCCAACGAAACGATGGCCATTTGCCGGTGTATAGCTGCAGGGAAAAGTCTCAAAAAACCACTGGGTAGGGAACTTTCCTGTGACGAAGAGACCTGTCAGTCGGACGCAGCAGACCTATATGTATCCAAGAGCGTCTCTCAACCTTCCTGGCCTTCCCTCTATACCTCCTCTGATTCCCGCTGCAGGACAAACCGAAAGTCGTGAAAGGATGTCAGAAAAGTCTTGGTCGAGATTAACTGCCGTGAAAGTGACTAGCCTAACATCTAAAAGTGGTTGCGGACATGAGACTGTCTTGAAATCCATGTATTTACGATGTTCTCCTGACTATCAGACTCAGAGTTATAGGTTAGAGGAGACACTTTGATTGACGAGTCGAAATCTGCTATCCTTGAGGGCGGAAGGGCCTTTTTCTTTACTTTCCTGGGCTTTTTGTTCGTCCGCCGTTGGGTAGCATATGTTGTGATATAACGAGGGCTTCTCTGACTACCGTTGTAGCGTTTGGTACCGCATTATCTTTCGTCATTCCTAACATCATTATCGTCGTCTTGGTCGACTTATGAGTTATCGGAAGCACACCCTTGACGGAGGGGGAGATAACTCAGCTCAAAGTTGAATAGGTGTTACTCAATCTCGGCTCTGCAGACTCTATAGTGAGAGCTGGAGGTTCGTAGGGAAACCCGCTCGCAAGTGTTGAGTTTCGTCCCCCCTACTGATAGCGTAGAAATTAGGTGGATATCCTTTCTAGCCCACAGTTACAAGTCAGGTCTGCATGTTCGTGCTTGAAGCGACGATGATACGCCGCAAATTCCTATTTTCTTACCTTGCAGCAATGAGCTCAAAGAGTAATCTCCCAAGCAGAGATAGTCTGGAGGGTTTATGTTGTCGCATTTGCAGGTTCTAGACTTGGTACTGAGCTAGACGAGCAGCTGACTACTAATTATTTATCAGTTCTTGTCTTCGCATTTGCATGAGACGTCGAAGGTAAGCAAGGCTAATCTCATTGATTTATCTTTAGCTATCCGGAAGTTATTTTAGTGCCGCTCGACGTTCCTTGTCTCTCTGCATATTACCCTCTATATTAGAGTGTCCTGGGTCCCATCTAATTTCTACGTTAGCTTCTTGTAGTGCATCATGAAAGATGCGGTTCAATAGACTGCTAGAAGGCAAATTTCCTATCTGCAAAGCCTTGACAGCTACTTGTTTGTTTGGTAGCAAGGTCATATTCTCTCTCATCTTCTTCACAATAGCAGCAGTCAGGAGAGCCGCCATGGCACCGACTATCTCGCCGTCAAAGGTTTTGTATCCAGTTAGAAAGACATACTCCTTTTCGAAGTTAATACCTCCTCTTTGAAGCACATAGCTCCTAGTCGATCGGCCATAGTCTTCTGAGGACCCATGTGAATAAACAAATATCTCAGTTGAGGAACCATCTTGAAATATTTTTGGTACACCTCCACTTCTATCAGATTTGACCCAGGTTATTTCAAATATTCTGGCCCCGGTAGTGGTTCTGCATCCTCAGCTGAACATAACTGGCAGGGAGCCCCTTGAACGCGGGGCATCTGGGTCCCAGGTCGTGTAGAAGTTTTTGGGTCTCTTATATTTAATTGTCCCCCCCCTTTCGGGCAGATACTTACACAAGTACGTAGGGGTGACGATCATCGAGGGATTTCAGTCTTGCAAAACTTCTTAGGCGTTTGTATCCCGAGAGAAGAGAGGCTGGTGAATATCCCCCTTCTCTGCGAAGGGCAACGTTGGGTGTCGCTCTCCATACTATTAGTGCTGCTCTCAAGGTTAAAATTAAAGCCCTGTCAATCATCTCGTAGATATGCGTCGTCTTGGGAATTACCAGACCTCGTATATCCGTTCGTACCACACCAGTTCACCATACGTCGGTATCATACCTCGTTACTAGAACTGCACACACATCTACAGCAGTTACTAAAAGTCATGGAGTTGCCCTCTGCATGACTGAATTCATTAGTCATAGTTATTGCGCGACTATTATTGCTTTCATATTCATGTAGCTAAATGCTTAATTAAAGAGAGTCTCTTAATGAGATAAAACCCTAGATCATAATCTACACTATGTTGCAAATAAAACGTCATCTACAAAATTAAGTGAGAACAGCAGACTTTTGTACTCAAGGGGGTTACACTTTTTATTCCGTATTTCCTTCTATATGGACAAAAGCAGGAGCTATTATTGAAAGCTGAAAAAAACAATCCATTCTTAGATTATCTTTAGAGGTATGCGTGCTTGCTCGGAATTTTTTTCATGGGATAACATAGTGATAAAGTCCAGTATCTTAACTGCTGAGGAACTAATCTCTTGAGACGATTTTATGTAAAAACTTGGCTTGGAGGTAATTGGTTTGATTGTATTCGAATTATAAGTGATGCGTGGATGATATACATAATGACGGTTTATCCATACGTATATTGGCTAAAGGAGAAACTCGCATGCTAAAAATTCAGGATTAAAGTCTTCGAGTATGATTTGTGTGACGAAAGATCGAGATTTTACACAAGAATAAGGCTCTGTTAGGCCATCCATTTCATTAACATGAAAACCCATCGATACTGAGTTGTTTATTCTGTACAATGTTGCTCTTCGCGAAGCCCACAATAGGTCAGAGGCTCGAATAGGTGTAGGGCGACTCGAAAGTTGCCTAAATAGTAAAACGATAGAGAGCGATAATAGTAGTATCCTTTTCATTAGGAAATAGATACAAGCTCACTCACTACGCTGTTGTCAAACTGCAGACTCACCCACTACCAGCACGTTTGCCAACTATGACTTTAAGGCCGTGTGTTCATGGCGGGGTAGATTTTTGACTATTTGAAGAAGCACTAGACGATTCTGTTGTGCATCGGTTTAACCCTGTTTGAAGCAACGACTGGCGGGAAACGGACTCGTACCCCATATCTGAATTTTTTGAAGGACTGATGATACTGGCTCTCACCAAGTTAATCCATTGGCATCGATTAAGCGCCCGATCGTTTCACGGCATTATGGGGAAATGGCTGCCTAGGCTAGATGTCTAGCCTTACCCAGACAACGGTTGCCAACGGTATGGCGGTAACGGACGAAGTGGTATCTGAGCGGGGAATAGTCAGTTGTGCGGCCTGGAATCCCCCTATTCGTTGCGTACTCCTAACACTGAGCACCTCTAGATATCTTGAGAATTTCTTCTCCTATCCAAGAGGCTAGCAGCATAGCCCGACGAGACACCGACTACGAAATGCAAGCAGTCGCAGTAAATTCTATTCAATACCGTCTTATTTTGCAGGAGCCAATGTTTGACAAACTTTTATGTGCATCATATGCCCTTTAATGCGAAACTAGGATATATGAGAAACTAGAAGGGTGGCATATGCGTTAGTCTTCTTCTAATGCAGGGGACTCATGATCCGTTAATGTCAGGAAAATCAAAAGCAGACGGAGATTTAGGGACCTAGTTCAACCGTTTTGTGTTTGAAGGGTTTTCACAACAAGCGACAACAGCGTCGATCCAATGACTCAATTTTGGCGGCTAGATTGAACTGAATGAAGAAGCTATTATGATAATTTAGCTGTACAAGCGCCTATTAGTCCAAGACTTGAGCTAAAAAGATCATAATTCCACTCGCACATCGAGTGTCAGCATTATTAAAGATAAAACACGTTCTATTTCTATATGCGGAAGAAATGATACTGGAAATAAAAGTTCGATATTTAATTATTCATCAAATAATATCGTGTGCATATGTTTGTGCTTCCATCTTACGACTTATTGACATCGGACTTAACGCCGAAGCCACCAGCCTTACATCTGCATGCAAAAAAGGGGGAAGCATGAAACCAATCTACCCATTGTGAGGGTATGATGATAGGTCACCCAAATTTTTTATAATTATTCGATCTCAAATCGATCAATAATCAAACTTGGGAATTAACCCCTTTGGTCTAGATGATAGTAATTTACCCTTAATTTCTTGGCCTGGACATGCTTCATCAGCCCTAGATCTCCGGACGCGAAATCATGTAGTGCTTTGGATGAAGGGCTACTGTCATAATGCAGCTGATCTCAACTCGTCATAAATAGTTGAAGCCCCTATTCGAAGTTTTCTAAATAACCATCGCCAACTTACCACCTCATCTTGAACTTATTCATATTACATACCGATTAGGAAGCAAGCACCTGAACCCTAGAAATAAATTCTTGTTATTAGATTTTTCATATCACCAGTAAATTTAACGACCCTACCGCCTCATACTGATCAGACTTTGCGTTAATTCTAAACTTTTACGAATCGCCCATCTGAAAAACTGTGCAGTAAACATAGATTAAATATGTTCCCTAATAATCTTCTCGAACCATACACGTCTCCTCGTACAGCTGAAAAAATACTTAATCGCCCTAACGCACGAGACCTTCATATTGAGACAAAACCATCATCTCATAGACAACCCGTTCAAACTTCTAGCGATCTACAGAACCAAATACCGCAATGTTACGCACCATTCACTCCGCCACAATCAACGACCGGCACTCGCAGTATGCTCAGGGAACTACCAGATCAAAATATGCAGTCAGGGCTAGTGCAGTTCATAAACACTCACAATAGGGCCGAAGTTTCCTTTAGTGCTATGACGATTGATATTCGCTGTGAAAATTATAACGATCTAATAAGGGCTCTATATGAAGCAGCATGTCCACCACCAGGAGTAAGATGGGGTATTGTTCGGATCGATGTACTTTGGGAATTACCTATTTCTATGACAACAATGGAAAGCGGTAATTACCGTGAAACACCTTGCAGAGGTATTCAAGGGCCCGTCTTACGAAATATTTTGCGTTTGATGAGTGCAAGAGGGTGGAGAGATCTTTTTGTGGTCAGATATATCGAGGGCTAACATCGTTCAAATCCACACAAGGCTTGCGGTCAGCAACCAATGACTACACTGATCTCTCTATGCTAACAATCAAAATTGTGACATTATGAGCCGGCCACCAAACTAAAATATGAATCTTTCCAAACGATACCCGAGATAAATCTCTCAACAATATACGAATCTAAAAACTCCTTAGAATGTGCACATGATTAATGACCCATATCGCTACGGAGATAGTCAAGTCATTTTCAAACTTTACATACGCATCAATATAACGCATAATTATCAAAAAAATTTAATCCTAAACGGTGCGATAGAATCTGATGACTTACAAAGAGATAGCGGCTAAATATAATAAAAATGAGAATAAAAGACTAAAGTGGAGTTTTGAGACAAATGAATTTTGCAACTCAAAAGCTGCCCTGTACAGTATTGAAAACCTTTTGCACCATATAAGTCCAAATTAGTCACCCAGATAATTTGGTTTATTAATTTACAGATGTCTTGAAATTATAGAATTAGTTGATACATCCGCTAAATAAAAATTTGTAGTCCATCTTCCGATTGGAAAAGATTCATGATAATCAAGTGTCTAGTTTATGATCTATACAATTTGAGAGATGCACATGTAGTTTATGCGGGAAAGGCATTTTGTTTGTGAATCTAGTGATTTGAAGGCTGGCTCCGTCATTAGATATTCTAGGAAATTGACCACGTCAGTGCTACTGGAATATTGAGCACTGATGGAGATGTGTTGAAAAATATCAACTCTTATCTGTGAGACAATATAACCCACATGAGCAAAAAGATTTCCCAATACTTCAACTAACTGTTAAGTCATAATAAATATAAACATCCACAAACTGCGAACCCGAAGTGGCGTCACACAAATTTCAATATTGCCTTGGAACTTTCCACGCGTGCTGCAATTCTTACACATCACCAACATTTTAAAAACATCAATAGCTTGTTGAAGTATCAGCCAGCCAGCCTTTGTATACATGTGACTTGATTTATTAGCAGGTCTAGACTAGGGTCTATAGAACGTATCGTGAATATAGAGCTAAGCAGTTATTATAAGTATAACAAAAAGCTACTGGCATTTACCAGCTTACAGTTTTGTGACCTTGTCTTCCTTCAATACTTGTCAACATATTTGACTTGTAATGTCTAAATCTCTCCACTCGAAGTGATTTTCGTCCAATTAAAAATATTCTATTCCGTCTATTCTCAATATTTCGGTGAGTCATAATCCATTCCATCCTTGTAGACTTAAATATATACATTTTTAATTTTTCGTCAGATTTTGATTGCGCATACAGATATCTAGCTATGACAAAACATCTGGTAATTGGTATAGAATAGATGACTCATTTTAAAACTAGAGCACACATGCCTCGGATTTTATCTGCAAGTACTGCTGCGAATTTATGGTGACTTTTCCTTCACCCCAAGTCAACCCTCAGTCGTAAATACCCTCTCGGGGAAAATTCTCCTCATCACCGAGTCATCCAGAAATGCCCCCAATGACCTTTCTCCGCGCGAGATGTAGTCTGAGTTCCTTCCCGAGTGGAGTCGGAGCTCAGAATACTCAAAATTTACTTGTCGTAAGGATTCGCAACATTACGCTTAGGTACTCACCTAAGCTTAACTAACGGTCAAACCGTAACATTATCTCAAGGCTGCATGGGGTGGGATAGATGGAGCTGAACAAGACGGCACTACGTCAGGAGGTCGAAGCGTTACTACAACTAACACCTGGCAATGCGTGGCTGGGTAGCAGGTATTGTGCCTAAGGGTATTCATCAGTCTGGAGATTGGCGAAGGGGACCAATTTTTATGTATACCTGTTAGTAGTAGCTAGAGTTCTCTTTTCTCCTCATATAGGTTATTGAATCGATTTATTCATCCCCAACTCGGTTTTTATCATAGATAACCACCGGGAGGCGGGCCACAGCCCCTTTGATCATTGGCTTGTATTTATAATGACAGCTGTACTTTTGCATTCGACGACTGGGCATGCACAATGCTCTTCAATTTCAAACACTCCTAGCCATTCTTAAATCTCACATCCGTCGAAATTTATCCATCTTTTGAATCATCTTGTAAGCCTATCTTAATTTCTCTCAGGCCCATGCAAATGAGCTGCCTCCTAAACTTGTGCACCACGATTGTTTTCCTTTGGTGGGCTGAAATATCGGCGCAGGTGTATGTTTGGTGGCTGGCTCAGGCCAGAGAGTAGTCGATGAGAGGTGTAGTCATTGAGACGAGGATGTACTAGGTCGTACTTGTAAACCTGATAATAATTAGATGGAAGAGACCGACTTGGTGAAGAGTCTTAAATCATTTATCCTCGGGCCAACTTTAGTATCGCGAATTTTGACAGGACTTAGCTCTAGATTAATATTTCACTTACAGGTTGGTCGGACACTGCGGATAGGTGTTTAGTCTTTGTTCTCAAAGGCTTCGGCTCTATATCGCTATACATGTACTCGTAGCGCACAGCTCCCATTCCTTTAGCTGTAATCTGAACATGAAACTATTCAAGCAAAATTTTATTTCAGGAATATTGAGGCTATATCATCGCGCGGCATTCCAATACTTTAAGACCGGCAGAAAATGAATCTGGCTTGATTGAAGTATTGACATCCTGGAAGTCATGGTACAAAACGAAACCGACATATCAAGCTTGAACAATATCACAAGTTTAATGGGCTATCGTAACTTGCGCTGGACAATATTTTGAGGGTTATAATAGAACTGATAGAGAGGCCGAAGATAAATCTAGAATAGATTCATTACCTTAAAAATAATTACCTTTAGTCAGTGAAGAATCAATACTTACCAGTAATATACCCGATAAGCCTCCAATTGTCACCGGAGATTCTACAGAGCTGAGATTGACCCGAGCTCTTTGCTGGAAGAATTTTATTCTCAGTGGATCTACAAAGTTCCTGGCGGCCGGGTGGCAGAAAGAGATTAGGCTGGGCAAATTTAAATCATACACACTGTCAAAACTTTCCTGTCGAGACTTTTCTGTCATTACAATATGCTCGCCGACTTCTCTAGAGGCGCGAATGATGGCTGGCGTCGAAGTGAGGCTAGAATCATATAGAGTGACTTTGTTGAGCACAAATTAATTTGCAGTGGCCGGCCTCTTTGATGACTTTAAAGAAGCAGATACTTCCTCTAATCTCGTCTTGATGTTTGCATAAGAAAAGCTTTGAATCAGTGGTATTTCTGATTTTTCCCCATTGCCGGACACCTGCAAATGATCTTCGCCTCGATGGTTGGAGAGAGCAAGTAGTAAAGGGTAGAATTCTCATCCAAGTCTACGATCGAACAAAGATTTGTGAGGGGTACTACTATTGGATGGGAGTCGTAAAGGAGGCATATGTATCCTTGGCCTGTAAATATGGAGAGCCTACATTTTCTGTAAAGTTTGATTGATCAAGGCAATTTGACGTATTATTCTTGTCCCTTCTCAGTCCAAGACTATACAAGACATTTAGTTCTCTACCTACAGGCCAAGGATACCTATGCAAATACTATACTCCATACTATGCCTCTCGTACAGGTCCCTTCACAAGTCCTCATTCGGTAATACACTAATGGGGGCCATTTGCCCTTCATTATTTCCCCTCTCCAGCCAATGAAACGATGACCGATTACGGTTGTATGGTAGCCGGAGAAGATTGCAAGAGCCACGGGGTGCGAGCCTCTCCTAATACCGACATTAGGACTAGATCCGAAGACAAAGTGATCCTTCTGAAGCGTTTGAAGAGGTCGGCCAGCTGAGCACTATAGACTTGTGTGTACCTCGGGAAATTCACCCTCTGCCTTTCTTGCCTCCTTCCAACTCTTTCCCGAAGGTCGTCCTCAAATGTCAGAAAAGTCCTGACAGAGCGTGATTGATGTACAGTAGCTTAGGCCAACCTCTTTTGTGCCGTTGGCTCATCGACAAGAGAAGTCCTGCTGGCTAACTTGCCGAAACATTGGTCTTGGCGCTCACAAACGTTTCAAAGTTGAAAACCGCTTGTAAATTTCATTTCCAGCATAGTCTTCAGAGATCTGTTCTCTCTCTCTCGCTCTACATCTTAGCCGCCCGTCCCCCCTCAAGATGTATAACCCCATTAGAGCAGCAGTCCCCCATAAACCAAGACCCCAACTTTGTATATTATGACTTAATTTCCTCCTTGCGGGTATACGTAGCGTCGTAAATTTGTAGTAAGTGATGGTCGGTAATGAATGAGGCAAGCTCCTGTTTGTAATTGGGGTGACGCCTTTATCGGTCGATGAGGCGAAATGATGCGTGGTTAGAAAGAGGTTGAGGACTTAGAAGATAGTGGTGAGTGCTGCATGATTGAGAAGTCGTCAAATGGAGACATGGATGTGTTTGCTTTCGACTTCGATTCGGATACGATGCTTCTTGGCTATCCCAGATATGCAGAGGATATTGAGCGATTACACCGGCACCTCTAGAAGGTGAAGAATTCGACTTTGCCGGCTTACGTTTTAGATAAGCCGGCAGTTACATCAATGAAACTATGTAAATGCTCGCCTACCCAGTAAACTTGTGATGTATGCCGCGGCCTCAAGCCACTCGCGAAACCATAGCCTCACTTACTTCGTCGCATCATATTATAACACAACCCTCATCCGAGAATACCCGCCCAGGAAAAATTCTCCAAATCTTCGAGTCATCCAGAAATACATCTACCTTCCATTGAGCCTTCCCCACGCAAATTATGGTCTGAGGCTTCTCCTTCCAGAGTGGAGTCGGTGCTCAGACTACCTAAACTTAACTTGAATTAACCACAAGGAGGCGGACCATAGCACCTTCGATCATTGGCTTGTATTTATAATGATAGCTGTACTTTTGCATTCGACGACTAGGCATACACAATGCTCTTCAATTTCAAACACTCCTAGCCATTCCTAAATCTCACATCCGTCGAAATTTATCCATCTTTTGAATCATCTTGTAAGCCTATCTTAATTTCTCTCAGGCCCATGCAAATGAGCTGCCTCCTAAACTTGTGCACCACGATTGTTTTCCTTTGGTGGGCTGAAATATCGGCGCAGGTGTATGTTTGGTGGCTGGCTCAGGCCAGAGAGTAGTCGATGAGAGGTGTAGTCATTGAGACGAGGATGTACTAGGTCGTACTTGTAAACCTGATAATAATTCGATGGAAGAGACCGACTTGGTGAAGAGTCTTAAATCATTTATCCTCGGGCCAACTTTAGTATCGCGAATTTTGACAGGACTTAGCTCTAGATTAATATTTGACTTACAGGCTTGTCGGAAACTGCGGATAAGCTTTCAGTTCTTGATACCCCTGTTGCAGGTTTACCCGCAATTTTGTCTGGGCTGACCGGCGTGCTCAGCCTTGCATGCAATCACGATTTTGCGAAAGGCTGAGCCATTCGCACAGGGCGGCACCCGGCTACAGTGCCCACAAGATGTTGTCTCTTGGTCACACCTTCTATCAACTCAATCCGCCGGCAAAGACGAATTCTTCACCATCTGGTAGTGCCGGTGTAATTGCTCAGTATGCTCGGCATATCTGGGATAGCCAAGAAGAATCGCATCCGAATCGAAGTCGAAAGCTACCTCATATACATCTCCATTTGATAACTTCTCGACAATGCCTCTCTCATCATCATCTGAGTCCTCAACCCATCTCTAACCACGTATCATCTCGCCTCAACGACCAATAAAGAAGTTGCTCCAATTGCATACAGGAGCTTGACCCATTGATCCCCAGCCATCACTCACTACATATTTACGACGCTAATAATACCCGCAAGGAGGAAATCAAGTCGAAAAATACAAAGCCTGGGTCATGGCTTATGGTGGACTGTTGCTCTAATGGGACAAACAACTTGAGGGGGAACAGGCGGCTGGAATGTGGAGCGAGAGGGGAAAGAGGTCTCTGAAGAGCATTCTGGGACCGATATTTTCGAGGAGAATTCAACTTTGGATTTTTTGTGGGCTCCAAGACTAAGATTTCGGTTAACTAGCCAGAAGGGCTTCTTTTGTCGATGAGTCAACGCCACTCCCCAGCGCCCTGGACGACACAAAAGAAGTTGGGCTAAGCTACCACACAGTAATCACGCTCTGTCAGGACTTTTCTGACATTTGAGGACGACCTTCGGGAAAGAGTTGGAAGGAGGCAAGAAAGGCAGAGGGTGAATTTCCCGAGGTACACACAAGTCTGTAGTGCTCAGCTGGCCGACCTCTTCAAACGCTTCAGAAGGATCACTTTGTCTTCGGATCTAGTCCTAATGTCGGTATTAGGAGAGCTCCGCACCCAGTGGTTTTTTGCGATTTTTCCCGGCTGCCATACACCCGCAAATGGCCATCATTTCGTTGGCTGGAGAGGGGAGATAATGAAGGGCTAAGGGCTCCTCTTAGTGTATGATCGAATGAGGACTTGTGAGGGGCAGTACTGTTTAAGGGGAGTTGAATGGGAGGCAAAGGAGGGGATATACTACTGGTATAGGTATCCTTGGCCTGTAGACAGAGAGGACCTGCATGTCCTACATAGTCATAGACTCAGACAGGACAATAAATTGAATTAATAATAATAATAATAATAATAATAATATCAACACAATCCAGTGATAGCTGTTACTCACAGAAAAATATTAGCTACTTTATAGCATTGATAGTGTGATTTAACCGCTGACGCCATTAATGGGTATCTAAACTTTTTTCCACCTGAATGACCGGTCCACGCCAGATTTTAGTCATGTGTTGAATATGTCAAATTCTACTGTCCATAGAGCCCGACTGACGTGACGCAGCGCAAATTTCCTCTTCGGCTTGGCCACCACGAGCCCAAGCACTCGATACTTTCCTCCCTTTGAAACCATTCACATTCATAGGAATCCAGCAATGACCCATACATGCATCACATTGTCTCATCAAATGTTCATTTTCTTCACTTGATCAAACGCCCAGTGATCGACACAGAGGAGCGATTTGCCCTTTGATGTGTTTACTGTAGAGTCTCATGAGATTATGACTAAGGATAATTCAAGGCATGAGTAAAATCTGGGGTAGTCCGCTCAATCAAGAAAGACATAATTCATATATTTCATGATACTTAACCTTATTCAGCTTCGCTTCAGTCGTATAAACACTTGCAAAGTACCACAAACACCCTTCATCAAGCATGTCAATGTACAGATCATAACACTCGTAGTAAACAGTAGATTCTAAGATTTGCGAGAATATGTTACGCAGTAATCGCAGTTTATGCCGGTGCTGGTATATTTGTGGCTAAATTGATATACGCACCAACTTGAAAAAATCATAAATTTCGGTTTCGGGGATCCTAATCATTCCCATAGCTAAGTCCAGAAAATTCTTAGATTTCGGAAAAATTTAACGTCGTTAGAATCGATTATACTCATAAGCCTATCTACCTGACGATAGCATCGGCCAAAGACCTGACTTTGCAGATTCCTCCACTTTCCGTAACAAGCTTGCCAACTGATGTTTGAAGTGGCTCTCCTTCTTTTTGTAGTGCTTTGACAGCTCCCGCATCGAATACGACTTCAAGTTTGCCGGTCGTAGTAAAACCTGGTTGAATATTTTCCCATATTTTTTTCTTGGGATTCAATATTCCTTCAGGTTCCCCTTTCCAACCTTCAAAAAATACCCTCTCGCCCGCCACAGCGTCAACAGGTGGACTGACCAATTCCACGGGCCCACCATGGTGATCATCCTCGCCTTCCTTGAGCCTAGGGGATGCTGCTAGAACCATAGCTGAGGATTTTATCCCACGCATTTTGACAGGTTTAAGGTTACAAACTACTATAACTTTACGACCTTGCATTTCCTCTAGAGGTACCAGTCCATTTAAGCCTGAGCAAACTGTTCGTACGATCTGGCCCTCATACTCAGATGTGTCATCTGTACCAGGTTTGTCTCCCATTGCAATTGTGCTTACATAAAGAGTCTCGGCCTCTGGATGCTTGATTGCTTTTAGAATGTGTCCTACCCGTAAATCGATAAGACAGGGCGAGAGAGATGCCGCTACCGCTGGTAGCTTTGGAAGTTTAGGAGCTTTCTCTTTCTTATTTTTCTTCTTATCTGACTGTGCTGTCTCACCCGTGGTAGTGGCCTCTATATTTTCAATTACATTTTTTGCAGGGGGGTTTTTCGTTACCACTGCAGTGTTCATAGTTGTCTCGCTTGCCGATTCGGTCTTAGCAATAGCTGCAGCCTTTTCTTTCTTGAGTCGCTCTTTCTCCGCTTTTGGGTCAGCCATTGGTTTAACATACATAATTTTCTCAGGATCGATGGTGACTTTTTCGGTGTCGCTAATTAACAATTCAAATATTGGGGAGTTTTGGACAAAGTCCAAATGACGTACGATGTTAGGATTCCCGTTCTCACCGGTTTTCTGTTCCGGTGACCAGGAAGATACGAGTGGTGCAAGAGAATGATAAAAGGTGATATCCGCCTTGGAGGGTTTACTTCCCAGAAAAGTAGTGCGAGACGCCAGATGAGTATTTATATTCTCTAAAATACTTTTTCTATCATTTTCGCTAGAGACCTTAAGTTTTTCGGAAATCGCAAGCCATCTGTTGACTTCATCTGTCTCACTAGCACTGTATGTGACGCTGCTGATGGAACTCATTTTCCTTAATATGAAAGTTTTAAGCCCCTTGGCTCGAGAAAGCAGAGTTTTGGACGACAGGTTGAAGGACAAACAATTATCTTCAATTGTCTATTCAAATGAAGATTTCTGGCACAGAGAAGGGACGTTAGTAAAGAATTAATTGTTAAGCAATGGAAAGGAAGCGAGTGTTAAGGATCTAACTAGATGTGGCTAGTTTTAACACAATTCTTTTTGCAAACCATGAGAACAACAGAATGCTGGGTAGTGGGAAATTTTGGTATTAAATATAGAGTTCATGATTTGGTCCAGATTAATTGAGGTAAAAATAAAATTATTTATTTACGAGAGATACCATAATTCACGAAAAGCTGCGCAGCATTTCGCCTAACTTTTTACGCTAATTTAACAATTTTAAACTCCTAAAAATCAATAATTAACCCATTGATTCTCTCAAAACCTTCCATGAAACACTATGGAGGGCGTTGAAGCTAGTTTGTGTGAGTCCTGCGTTCCCGACGTGTCGCAAACAACGACCATTGCAAGCAATTCCGAAGATGGTGGAGTATAGACACCTCAAAATAATACAAATAGTAGAAACCTTGGGGAATCTTCTAAAAAATGGTAAACCAAAAATTGTGGATGAAGTGAAAGAGGAGGATTTTCCTACCATTGAGCATGTCAACGAAGCCGTCAAGGCTCACAATAATTACAGGAAGGCCTTGATAGCAGTTTTCTATTGAGTATCTCTAATAGAGAAGAGGATGGTGGCACTGGAGGATTTTGTGTGGAGAAGTCTTAGGGATTCCGCCTAAAGGGTGTTCCATCAACGGCTTCAAAGTCGCATGCCCCAAGGAAATACGACTCAGTTGTCGCACCTCCGATGGCGAAGATAGCAATAAGAATACGAATATTGGGACCAAAATACATAGACAGAGCTACTCAAAAAGGCACAATAGCAAATCTCAGGTGTATATGCGATCCGTAAATCGATGAGCAGCAACACTGATTTTTTGACCCAGTCGATATCTCAGAGAGATGCGACCCTGAACGTGGCCTAACTAGTGGTATTTTAGGTATTCAATATAATTTTAATTTCGATTTTTGCGGAGTCTAGTTGAAGACGAAAGTTCAGGGGGGCAGAAATGCCAACTATTATAAATTGGTCCAAGATATTTGCGCATCAGCCGAAGTCAGAATCTCGGGAACAGTAATAAATAGAATAAGATGGGTGTACGATTGAAAGGAACACCAGTCTGCAAAAACGAGTGGACGTTAGAGCGGTCGATCATTCTGAGCCTTCCCTCAGAAGCCTTTTAGGAACAAGTGGCCCGCCACGGCTTTATTCTCGATATTATGCTGTACATTACGTAGGCGTCGTGTGGAAATACAGCCCAGTGCGGTGAGTACGCTAGTGCATGCCAAACTCGGGACTGTTCAAGTAAAAGGGTCTCTTGTGTTAATAGCGTCAAGTAACGTTATTCATGTTAGAAGGCAGCGTGTTGGACCTACAAGATCTATAATGGGGGTGTGTAGATCGCTGGGATGGAGATTCCAAACCGAACAATCGATATACGGATGGAAAAACAATATGTGGCGATATCACGAATAGCCAGGTCGACTAATGATCAGAGATTTACTTTGGTCTCCAGCAAGGGGGCTCAAGGATCAAAAAAAGGACCGGGACGACCGTGTAAGGTTGTCGAAGCCCCTACGACAAATCCAACCCACCGAGAGAAGCACGACCCTTAGGGTCGACTCTCCAAACCCTTTGAAGACATGTGCCAAAAGAGGAGGTGCATTCTCTATCCAATTTTCCTGAGCTTAGTCTTATTGACAGGGCAATTAACTCTGTTAGCAGAAACAACTACGAATCAATGGTTTAAAGGAACGTCTTTGGCGTTAAGCTGAGTCACATCATGGTGGCGAGACACCGGGGTTTTTTGGTTTAACCCTTTTTCCCACCACAATGTGGCCATATATTCCCATGAGTCTATATGTAGGAATCTGGATAGAATAAAAATAAGTATATATGTTTAATTTGCAAAATTGAAGATAATATTACGGATTCTAAATTTTATTTTTAAGGCTCAGAGTATTTGAAGAATATATATATATATATATATATATTAATGTATCAAGTCCTCCATAGTCTTAGACTCAGTAGGGACTACAATAAAAATCTAATCTAATGTATCATGGCTAGATAGCCGAAAACGCAACTATTTTAAATTGAGAATAGCCAAGTAATCCTGAATTTCATCTTATCTAAAGATGTGACTGGCTTTTAACTCATCCGATCTATCGGGTTGATTCATCATTTTCAAAATGGGTGGAAGGCTGCAGAAGATATGAAGGTTGTTTCGGGCTACGGATTGGTAGTATGTATGCTTTAGATGGTTTACTGTCTCTTGGTTTTGCTTCACGACTTGTTTTTAGCAGTAATATGCCTAAAAGCATTTGTTCGAATGCACGCTCAGAGTAGCTATTATTCTCTTCTTATTTCCCCTCTTCGATCTACCAAGCGAAGGCTAGTTTTGGGTGCGAGGGTACTGGGAAAAATCTGCCGGAGGCACTTAATGTGGGATTATCATCTTACCATCATTAGAATTAAATATAAAGGCGTAACTAATCTCCTGATGCTTTCAGAGAGGCTATCTGGCCAGAAACTAGAGACTTGTGTTCACCCAGGGATGTCTTATTGCCCTACCGGCCGATTCTTGTCTCCTGCTCGTGCAGTAGGAAAAATTGAAGGCCGTGTTAGAACATGATCAAGTTTCCACTGAGAGCGATAATCTTGAATGAGCCTAGCCGAATACCCAATAACGTTTTTGACGTGAGATTTTTAAGAAACGTATTTACCACAAAAGCCATATTGGCTATTTAAATTAAAATTTAAACGTTGGAAAAGATATTTTGAACGATTGAATACTGCTAGTTTCCAGGTTGAAAAGATCTACTACTTTCATTTCACAGGCTTTGTATTAGATCGCCTCTAGGTAACAGTAATTGAAGTATGTTCACGGCCTATCTACGAGGGAATGGAAAACTGTAACAGATGAAAATATGAATAGCTCAATATGAGCTCTATAGAGTTTCATATAGAAGCTAGAAGCTCAAAAAACACATTGTTGACATGTTTAGATTCTTCGTCTCTCTTTATCAATCTTGTTGATATCAAGGAAATTCACTTGGTTTAAATAAGATATTAGATGCATGTTTTCAGTTCATGGTGGAATCAAAATCGTGACAAGCTAGTAGGGCCCAAATAATCTATATTCCAATTACAATACTCTTTGAAGTTCACACCTGGGCAGTACAAGTTAAAGACTTGGGTAGCTCGCTAAGGTCACCAATCGAATCAATTTCGATCACTTTTGACACCTCCGCGGTATTTCGCATTAATTCCTTTGCGCCGGCATAAAGCATCCTTAATTCAGAGTTGCAGGTCTCCGGGAGATAGTAAAGAAGTACATATGGAACTGAGACTCGCCCAGTAGACTTAAGGCTTAGCACGGGTACAGAGGGACCAAAAATTTGAACGCACCAGAGTTAATGGGTAACTCAGTAACACAAATCTTGGCGAATGATCTGGTAGATCATCGCCCAGAGTGTCGAGATCTTGGTAAGTTACGCCATCTTCTTCTTGCTTGATCTCAAGTGTCTTTCTATCTATCATGTCTGGGGATCGTATTAATCAAAGCTGTCACAATGTAGGCGCATTGTGTGAGGATATTGATTTACGCACAAATCGCAGCTTGAGGGACCTTTGAACGCGAGGTTTGGAGGCGAAAGTTGCGAAGATGTATCTTACTCTCAGGGCTAAAAGTGTAGAGACGTGACTCAGACGCCTGCAAAATGTGTTAGATGTGTTAGTCGAGCTAAATGTTAAACTTACCATGGTGATTAAAGGATACCCTAACAAAGTTGTTAACAACTAGGCATCATTATCAACTATCTATTTCGCTAAATCTACAGAGAGAACAGTCCATGACACGACATAATTCTCAATGTGACGTCACCGTTGTTTGCACTTTCACAAAGTGTATAACCAAATCAGACTACCCACACAGAATTTTGCTAGGTTCTCCCTGTAAGTATTGTCCTCATAGCCGGCAAAGTCGAATTCTTCACCTTCTAGAGGTGCCGGTGTAATCGCTCAATATCCTCTGCATATCTGGGATAGCCAAGAAGCATCGTATCCGAATCGAAGTCGAAAGCAAACACATCCATATCTCCATTTGACGACTTCTCAATCATGCAGCACTCACCACTATCTTCTAAGTCCTCAACCTCTTTCTAACCACGCATCATTTCGCCTCATCGACCGATAAAGGCGTCACCCCAATTACAAACAGGAGCTTGCCTCATTCATTACCGACCATCACTTACTACAAATTTACGACGCTACGTATACCCGCAAGGAGGAAATTAAGTCATAATATACAAAGTTGGGGTCTTGGTTTATGGGGGACTGCTGCTCTAATGGGGTTATACATCTTGAGGGGGGACGGGCGGCTAAGATGTAGAGCGAGAGAGAGAGAACAGATCTCTGAAGACTATGCTGGAAATGAAATTTACAAGCGGTTTTCAACTTTGAAACGTTTGTGAGCGCCAAGACCAATGTTTCGGCAAGTTAGCCAGCAGGACTTCTCTTGTCGATGAGCCAACGGCACAAAAGAGGTTGGCCTAAGCTACTGTACATCAATCACGCTCTGTCAGGACTTTTCTGACATTTGAGGACGACCTTCGGGAAAGAGTTGGAAGGAGGCAAGAAAGGCAGAGGGTGAATTTCCCGAGGTACACACAAGTCTATAGTGCTCAGCTGGCCGACCTCTTCAAACGCTTCAGAAGGATCACTTTGTCTTCGGATCTAGTCCTAATGTCGGTATTAGGAGAGGCTCGCACCCCGTGGCTCTTGCAATCTTCTCCGGCTACCATACAACCGTAATCGGTCATCGTTTCATTGGCTGGAGAGGGGAAATAATGAAGGGCAAATGGCCCCCATTAGTGTATTACCGAATGAGGACTTGTGAAGGGACCTGTACGAGAGGCATAGTATGGAGTATAGTATTTGCATAGGTATCCTTGGCCTGTAGGTAGAGAACTAAATGTCTTGTATAGTCTTGGACTGAGAAGGGACAAGAATAATACGTCAAATTGCCTTGATCAATCAAACTTTACAGAAAATGTAGGCTCTCCATATTTACAGGCCAAGGATACATATGCCTCCTTTACGACTCCCATCCAATAGTAGTACCCCTCACAAATCTTTGTTCGATCGTAGACTTGGATGAGAATTCTACCCTTTACTACTTGCTCTCTCCAACCATCGAGGCGAAGATCATTTGCAGGTGTCCGGCAATGGGGAAAAATCAGAAATACCACTGATTCAAAGCTTTTCTTATGCAAACATCAAGACGAGATTAGAGGAAGTATCTGCTTCTTTAAAGTCATCCAAGAGGCCGGCCACTGCAAATTCATTTGTGCTCAACAAAGTCACTCTATATGATTCTAGCCTCACTTCGACGCCAGCCATCATTCGCGCCTCTAGAGAAATCGGCGAGCATATTGTAATGACAGAAAAGTCTCGACAGGAAAGTTTTGACAGTGTGTATGATTTAAATTTGCCCAGCCTAATCTCTTTCTGCCACCCGGCCGCCAGGAACTTTGTAGATCCACTGAGAATAAAATTCTTCCAGCAAAGAGCTCGGGTCAATCTCAGCTTGAAGACTTCTAGTTGTTTAGCTTTGGTTTATTGAATCTTTTCCCTATCTCATTCTGATTTCTAAGCGTTAGGATGTGGAGTAGTAGCTAGTTTCTTATCAGGACGGGTTTGGACCCTAAAACCGATTGTTGTAACAATTTGGAGGTAGTCCGGAAACATGGTTAGCAATATTCCATTTAAACTTTTAGTATTTCGTGACAGTGGGAGCTAGAGTTTAGACTCGATGAAGTTAAATGATACCAACACATGGGTGTAAAATCCATGTGAAATAGCCGACCAGACCACACGAATTCCAACGATGAGAAAAGATGATAGATGACACTATTTGTCGGAAGGTCAAGTTATGGTTGTCCAGTGAAATAACCTTGCCACCATGATCTTCTGTATGTGATTGTTCTTACTGGGTGCAGAGGCATGGGGTTGATGGAGTTTTAGTCCCACAACTCTCGTAGTAATCGGACCCGAGGCTTTAGGTACTTCCGGAACAGGGACGCCCGGCTTAAGTGGCTAGCTTGCCAGCATAATATTCACACGTCGAGCCTACTGTGGGCTGCACGGCATATTCTTGAATCTTGCTTTTTAGCGCGGTCCTGATAGTAGGCCACCATTGCTGCTCAAGGCTTGAGGATTTACTCAGGTGTAAATCATGACACCCATATTCTGATTGGTCTAGCGCTAGGGCTCGCATCGGATGACATTAAAGTCAAAGCTTTCCAGATCGGCCATAAGATAGCACTTACACTGGCGATTGTTAGTAGCATGTGGCACAGGCAGACTTTCGAGGAGCTAGTGGTGGAAGCGGCAGAAGCGAATGTAACTTCTGGGACGCCACGGACGTGACGCCATCTGCGTAAAGATGTCATGGATCCCAGCTGCCCGGATTCGATTTGTAATGAGCGCCTAGCGCCTAACAACGGATCAGGGAGCCTTAAAACGCGACAACACGACGCAGCTCCTCATGATTTTGTTTGTTTGGGGCGCTTGGACTGCCGCTGACTGAGCACCCGCTGACAGTTTGACAGGGTTTAGGCGCTAGAGAAGCACAAGGCTTATCGTCCTGGCTCATGCTTTGACCCATTTCCACCCCACTCATCAAATCTTGAGAGTGCCATCGATGCCAATGGCTCAACACGTGCGGCAATCCCTCCCCCAAAAGAAAGCAATTCCGTCAACTCCGACCCGTCACCTCGGATTGTTGCGCAGCGGTCGATCTCCACCGGGGAAATTTGCTGACGGTGCAGCCATTTCCCTTCTCCACTGCGAGAGATGACAGCGATTTTTAAATTTGGAAGAATGCGCAGCCGAGATTTCTCATATATTGGATCCGTTGTGGATAGTCACGTCTGGGGCCACGCACCTTCGGCCACCAAAGATGCAGCCGGTTCATATGCCATGAAGCAATTACCGCCAGTGATTAAGGCATATGTGGAGACGAAAGTCTAGCGCACGATAGAACTGAAGGAGCAGAGATCAGCCAATTGGCTTCGTATCCCTTGCTCGTCATTAGGCCATATTTAAGAGCATTCTTTGGCACTGTGGGCCTTTATAAAAAATCAAACGAGGATGTAATTCGGTTAAATCCCGCCTCACTTCACAGAGCTCCAAGTTAGCAATAGTTATGAGTCAACTGCTTGCGTTTCACACGGCTTGATCTAATTCATTCACCAAACAGATTCTGAAATGAGCGGCCGCCAATGGAGCCTACCCGGCTAGAGAATATGCAGACTGGAAGCTGGAACGCTTCATGTCCAATACTTCTCAGGCACATAAAACTCACACTCCTATCTTGCAAGGGCCTATGCTAGTTTAATCGCAGCACCCACAGGACGGATTCTTATCACTTCCTTAAGTTCCACCCCTAGAAAACACCTAGCTCGCATGACGTGATTATCCGGGCCCTACCACTACCTAACACCCATCTAGCGGCTGGAAACCAGGCCCTCCAGATCATCAGCCGCATAAAATTCTGGCAACAATAACCGTGTTATTTTTTCGTGAATCGAGACCAATAACTACATGTTCCTATCTAAAAGAAATGGCCAATTGTTAAGATGATAACAGGACGATGATGAATTTATAATCTGTTGTGTTAGTGAAGGTGTCAAGACTCTTTCCCAAGTAGGTAATCCGACAAGATAACAAACCTCAGGATTGATAAACTAAGTTCGTATCGGAAGTAGCCCGCCCAGTGTCTTCACCGCCATATCGAAGATTAATCTTGTTTAGTATCGCTTTTGAAGTTTCATCTCTCATAGAAGGCTATTGGCTGCGCAGAAGACATAATTAGGTGACTGATCCCACCAGATGGGTCATCTATTAGGAACCTTGACAAACCAAGGATAGCCTTCAGAAACGCTATTTATCGCTGAGTCTAAATTCTTATCGCAGAAATTCCAGTGAGGGTCTTATTGATACTGCGATCTATCCTAGCCTCCATATGGGTTGATTCACTAGATTCTGTAAAGTTCATGAAATATAAACAGTAGAAAGGTTAACTGGGGCTCCTTTGATAGCACTGACGTTCAAAATGCATTTGAGGCGTAAATTACAGCGACATTGGTTCTAAAGCTCTGGCTACCTTTATTGGCTGATGGAAACGGGCGCCGGTTGGCCGAAATTTATCCCATGTAGAACTCACAACATGGCATGCCTACCTGCCGGTCGGTTAGATTAGGTTCGGACGAATTATACTTTTCGCTTCAGCTCACAGCCAACTCTCCGTTAAAACGTGACAGATGCGTCAACAAACAAAGATCATGGGGCTCCCTGTCGTAAAAAGGAAGGATTATCATCCTGAATCTAGATGGCGTCTATTGCTACCGACTCGCTATTCTGAAGCAGTCTTCAGAGGCATATCTTCACCATTCTCCGCTTCCATTGAACGAAAACAAGTCATCTTTCCCGTTTACATGCAACTGAATCACTTACAAATCACAAAACAGTTAACGATAACTCTACAAAAAAATACCTCATAATATTCCAGTTATTAAGTTCCATGATGTCCTCCACAATGCCCGTGAGTGGAGATATTTCGGCATTTCGTATGGGTTCGAATTGGGCCGAACCGGAAACTTACCGGATAGAGAAGCCCATCAGAGTTCGGGTCCTTCGGTTCTGCCATAGGTGCAAAACAACTTTTGGTAGCAACACGCTGTGTGTCATATGTGAGCACACTAAGTGCAAAAAATGCACGCGAACTCCTCTCAAGAAGATCGATATCTCTATTGAATCAAAAAAAAATTCTGCAACTGTTGGAACTATACGCGAATCTACAGGAGTTGGGTCTCTTTACAATAGTCGGAGTCTTTCGTCTCAAAGTGGATCATCAGACTCGAGCGAAGAGGAAAGCTAGTTGATATCCAGAGAATATTAGTGCACGTTCCAGCTTTTTTGAGACTCATATTAACTTTGCTCGTACAACCTTGAAAAATGGCCTGAGATATCTGTAAGTGTATTTATCAATCCCCTTTTAAATTTATAATAGGCCAATTTCTCCATCTGAACCGATCCATAAAATTTGATATCATTTTTCTACAAGACCTAGAATCATACCAAAAAAAGACTAATCCGTCGTAGCTCCATTTAGTCCTTGAGACCGAAAGAATTCATGTGTGTTGAGTTTCTCCAAAAAGATTTGACCAAAAGGCCCTGCACTGCACCATTGAGGGTGATGACTTCTCCACTCAAGTAGCTGTTATTGTAATTCGTCTCATCGTACAATCTTCGTTTGTGCTGAGTTCGCTTAATTTCTCGACAGGCGGCCCAATACTACTAATATAACTAACCTCAATCTTCATCTTCAGTATCTCGAAATAAGAATTTTGGTTTGTTTGCTGTCGACGCTGTTGGAATGATTTTGAGGTTGAACAGTCGAGGCTTGATTATCTGTACTATTAATGTTGTCAACCCTCAAATTCATGCAGCCGCGTTAATTATGAATTATTAATGAGAAGAAAAGATGGTTGAAATAAATTTTGAGAAGATTTAAACTTCTCTTCATCACGATAGAGTAATAGAGATAGATTACAAGTGGAATTTCTGTTGGATGCAATTAATACCTTGATAAAGTTAAAAATTCATGAACACTTCTGATCTAATAAATTTGTAATTTTGGGACGTATGAGAGGAATTACCAGGGATAAGAGCTTCTTCAACACCCTTCGACTCGTTATGAACCTGAAACTACAGGTATTTCATTCTGTTTGCCTCTTGATTTATTACTCAAGTATTCATCTCTTTTATTCTTATAAATTCCGAATGATTGTGTCACATCATTCAGGCTTCCTTGAAAACGAATTATGAAAACTAGCTATTTTTTTAAAATTTATTGTTCAAAAAATTATACTACCTACGACCCTTAGATCCATGGAATACTTATTCATATTACTCAGCATAGACATCTCATTGACGTCCGTAATAAGTTGTGGGAATCCCCAAGCACATGATCATGTCCTGCGCCAAGTGGTCAATCGGTAGAGGAGAAATCTGGAGACAAGCCCGAAATCGCTCCTTTGAAGCAATGACCAACAATCCTAACGATATGAAAAGAATCACACGATGGATTCTTAATCATGGTTGGATAGAACAATTCCGCATGACAAATGCAGTCGAAGTGCTGCTCAGGGAACTAGACGGAATATGTTCAAGGTTGGGGTCGATAGAAGGGACGTGATTGGTACACATCGATGGCGTTACAGTGTAACTGTGCTTCCCGAAGGAAAAATTGCAAACTCTAAGAATTAAATCAGAAAGCTTGGGAGGTTTTCACCGAGAGGTTTCCTCCTTTGTAAATTTATAGATAGGTTTATAGCCACCTGCATGGGCCCATAAGGCGCCAGATCAGGATAATGAATACAAATCAAGTTGTAGGAATATTCGTTTCTTGTAACAGCCATGCGTATTAACACCCTGAAGTTTTCAAGTAACATTACTGATCATCTTCTACCTATTCCTGGGTAGATTATTGTTGAATGACCTAGTAATTTGATGATCGTTTATGTATTCTCTCTGAAATGATGACTAATCCTTTTGATGAGTAATGAGTTACCTGTTTAAGAGAGACGTTAGGGGAGAGGGACTATTACTGAATATACGTGTTTCTTTTAGAAGTGTTGTAATGGAAGTTGTGTAGATAAGCTTAGGCTGCTAGATTTATAATCAATATCACCTAGTAAAGCGAGTTGGGAGATTGAAGAATCTCAAAACCATAGTGGAGAGTTGTTGATTAAACCCACTTAGTATCAGAGTGCTATTAAAACTCATCACCACATCTACGTGAAGACCGCGAGGCAAGGACGGGGTTTCGAATAAGCGCCAGGGTAAATACGCTGGCGGAGGAGAGGTCAGGATGAGGAACAATAAATAATTCAATTGTCCTGATTTGGCGCCTTGAGGCTCATGCTGGCTTTTATGGGAAGATATGTGCTGTAAGTAGGATGACTCAGTTTGTCGTTTGGAACACTCACGCTCAGATTTCATTTGCAGACATCACTCGTGGTTAACCTTTGCGGCGTACAACCTATTCAGTGCGTACCCACCACAGGGAAAAGTATGAAAATGCTATGTTTATCCGAGTGTACTTTCATCATTCCATAAATACAATATCACCGCGAGAGAGAGAGGCATGTTGGTCTTGCTGGATTCGAATCAGCTTTTTCCCGCCCCAAATGGGGTAGGTGTTCGAGCTACCCAGACTCTACTTGAGCTAACGGGCCGAATGGTAAACCACTGCACCATTCATTTCCAGGATCAAAACTACCGACTCAAAACCAACCATTACTTCTTCCCTTCTTCCCTTCATTTCTTCTTTCTTCACTACATTACTTGTTTAATGAGCTCATGATTTATTAGCTCTAAAATGGGTGTGAAGGAGCAGGGCCAGCCCAAAGGTTAAATCTCGGCCGGCTCCACTGGCCCTATATCTAAATAGATTAAAGTTTACGGCCTAGGACTTCAAACTAAATAAATGTGTATTGTGAGCGGATGTACATTTAAGTATAATCGGCTTTAGTTGTGCGGTAATGTATTGTGAGGAGGGCAAGACTGAACACCTGTACGCGGTGTCCTCTACGAAGCTGGGAGTGAAATATTCTCCCAGAGCCAAGTTCAGTCAAATTTCGCCATACCGAACAAGTTGGCCCATGAGGCTAAATTTCAAATTACTTCTCCACGTCAAATCTTTACTCCCAAATATTCCGATTCATACCTAAGCCTCATCGAGACTACAAGTACGACCTAGTACATTCTCATTCCAATGACCACACCACTCCTCGACCATCTCTGGTCTCAGTTGACCACCAAATACACGCCCACGCTGATATTTATACCCGACGGAGGAAGCAAAGCGTGGCGCACAAATCTGGGAGACAGTTCTTTGGGATTGGCGTGAGAGGATTCAGGACAAGTTCACAAGATGATGCGAAGGATGAATACAGTCTCGACAGGCGTGGAGTTTTGAATTTTGGCAAGAAGGTTTTACAAATTGAGCTTTATGTGTGCCAAGGCTTCTACTGTAAGAGTGTAGGCGACATTAAAAACCCCGCCATGGTTGGATAGTGCAGTGATACATCATCTTGGCCGGTCTGCCAAGTAGAGTCTGGATAGCTTGGACACATATCCCACTTGAGACAGTAGATTGCTGGTTCAAATCCGGCAAAACACAACCACATTTCTCGCGGCGCTGGTATGCATGGATGACGAAGGCATGCTTGGATAACCAAAGGTTTTTAAATTCCCTTTGGTGGGTACTTACAGAGGAGGGTCGACGGTTTGTGTAAGCAAGCATACCTCATAGTGGTATTTGCGAATGAAATCCAGAGTATGAGTGTCTCTAACGTCAAAAGAGTCATCCAACATGTATACATAGCACAGGTCATGTGTCATGTCTCATAGCTAGATAGCTGAATACACATCAAATAATGTAAAAATAAAGGGTCATGTACTATATGAGGACTGGGAGTTGTGCAGGCATTGAAGATGATCCGTGCGCACATACACCTAAGAAGGGCGGCCTTTTTTTTTTTTTGCATCAGATTTTAATTGCGTATGCAGCTATCTAGCTATGACACATAACCGGCGCTATGTATACATGTGGAATGACTCTTTTGACGTTAGAGACACTCATACTCTGGGTTTCATTTGCAAATACCACTATGAGGTATGCTTGCTTACACAAACCGTCGACCCTCCTCTGTAAGTACCCACCAAAGGGAATTTAAAAACCTTTGATTATCCATGATGCCTTCGGCATACATGCATACCAGCGCCGCGAGAAATGTGGTTGTGTTTTGCCGGATTTGAACCAGCAATCTACTGTCTCAAGTGGGATATGTGTCCAAGCTATCCAGACTCTACTTGGCTGACCGGCCAAGATGATGTATCACTGCACTATCCAACCATGGCGGTGTTTATAGTATCAGCTGCACTCTCGCACCTCAAGACCTGGCACGCGCAAAGCTCAAATTGTAAAAACTCCTTTCCAAAATTCAAAATTCCACGCCCGTCGAGACTGTATCCAATCCTCTGCATCATCTTGTGAACTTGTCCTGATCCCTCTCACATCCATCCCAAGGAATTGTCCTCCAGGTTTGTGCGCCACGCTTTGCTTCCTCCGTCGGGTGTAAATATCGGCGTGGGCGTGTATCTGGCGACCAGCTAAGGCCAGAGAAAGTCGACAAGAGGTGTGGTCATTGGGATTAGGATATACTAGGTCGTACTTGTAAACTTGATGAGGTTTAGGTAGGAATCGATTTCGTTGGGAGTGAAAGATTGATATGGTGGAGTAATTTGAATCATTGCCTCGTGGGCCAACTTCTTTGATATTGCGAAATTTGACTGAACTTGGCTCTGGGAGAATATTTCACTCCCAGGTTCGTAGAGGACACCGCGTACAGGTGTTCAGTCTTGTCCTCCAGGGCGGCCTTTCTGGGGGTGTTTTTTTTGCATCAGATTTTAATTGCGTATGCAGCTATCTAACTATGACAAAATATCAAAGAAAAGTACAGAATAGATGACTCAACGTAAGGGAAGAGCACTCATGCCTCGGATCTTATTTGCAAGTACCACTGCGAACTTATGCCGGCTTTTTCTTCACCCCAAGTCAACACTCATCCGTGAATACCCACCCAGGGGAACGTCTCAAAAACCCCGAGTTATCCAGACATGCCTCCATCATCCATCAACTTTTCTCCGCGCGAAATATGGTCTGAGGCGTCTCTTTCCCAAGTGGAGTAGGTGCCCAGGCTACTCAAACTATACCAGAGAACACCGCCAGGAGGCCGACCACAAAACCTTCCATCGTTGGCTTGTGTTTATAGTGTCAGCTGCACTCTCGCAAGCGAAGTCTTAGCGCGCACAAAGATCGATTCATAAAACTCTTGCCAAAATTCAAAATTTCACGCCCGTCGAGAATGTATCCCTCTTTTGCATCATCTTGTAAACTTGTCCTGACCCCTCTCACGCCAATCCCAAAGAACTGTCTCCCAGATTTGTGCGCCACGCTTTGCTTCCTCCGTCGGGTATAAATATCGGCGTGGGCGTGTATTTGGTGGTCAACTGAGACCAGAGAATATCGAAGAGAGGTGTGGTCATTGGAATGAGGATGTACTAGGTCATACTTGTAGTCTCGATGAGGCTTAGGTATGAATCGGACTCTTTGGGAGTGAAGATTTGACGTGGAGGAGTAATTTAAAATTTTGCCTCGTGGGCCAACTTGTTCGGTATGGCGAAATTTGACTGAACTTGGCTCAGGGAGAATATTTCACTCCCAGCTTCGTAGAAGACACCGCGCACAGGTGTTCAGTCTTGCCCTCCGCCCTCTCTCGTTGAACCTGGGTAGAGAGCCTTGTTGATTTGGTTATAAGATATTGAGCCAATAACGTCTACATATACAAATGAATAAGTGAAGGACACGATTCACTTGTTGATGCTAGATAATTGGGAGACTAGTCAATGTATGAGTCCTCATGAAAGTGGCTAGTTATACTATAACCTTACTAGGTTCCATGTTGATTGTAAGGGAGACGTCTCAGATAGATAATGTGACTGGGTAAGAGTTATGATATACGGGTAGCTCGAATAAGTAGGTAGTCTCAGACAGGTAATCATGATACAAGAACGTCGAATGGCCCATCTCATCAGCAGTAAAGCGACTAGTTAAACTCTAGGTAAAAGTGAACCGGAGCTTCCTCCCAACTCACACGACGGCTCAACGTTACATGAGATAAACCCTGAACTCAACCTATGTGGTAACCAATCCATTACTTGACCCACCCACACATATGCTACATGCTAAGACTAGTATTCGGCAGGGGATGATATTGATCTAGATGTATTCCCTGACATTAATACGGCTCTTCGTTGCCAAGTAGCGCCAATTTCACTAAGGAGTAGACAGGAATCAAGATATATGTTAACCACCAAACGTGGTTACTGCTACAGATAGCTTTTGATACAAATACCACCCGAGTATTCCGACAGTTATTCTTAGAACTGGATTGCACTCTTATGGGCTGATTCTTACGCGAAAATAACGGTTGGGCTCTAGATCTAGAGAGCCAAACGTACAAATACTTTGAGACCTAAGTGGTCAGGTTCGAGAAGGGCTCGGAAGTGAATCCCAAAAGCATAAGATTTGGAGGTAGCGACAAAAGTCAAGGTGTGTTGCCCTCAAATCTACAATCGTTTTCGGCTTCTCAGGCCAACAACTACTGAGCTAAAAATACAACCCTAGCAAATGACAATAACTAAATATTAAAGCTTCATCGATAACAAGCAATTAGCAATCCTCACTAATGCAATATGAAATGCCTGGGGCAGATCCATCTATATTTGTAGCTTTCTGGAACGGGACGTCACACGTGTAAGTGCTAGGCATGATATTTTAGATTTAGATTGCCACCCACAAATTCGGGAGAGTCTGAAGATTCAAAAAGCAATTTTAAACCCTCGCTAGCTTCTATCTAGTTCACTGGAGCATTGCAAACATTCCAAACGGCAGTTTTTCCGACCACGTCTGCGTAAAATAGTGATTTGTACACAGTCTGAGAAAGCATCTACAGCATTCTGGTATGGGTACAGCCCTTGTGCTTTACGGATGTATGATAGGGCCCTGGGACGTTTATCTCGTTCTGAGAGAGGGGAGAAAGCCATGAAGTTAGATGCGACATTGATTGCCTCGGTGGAAGGTCTCTGAGAATCCAAGGCTCCTGGACTAGGAAAATGCTGATATCGTTATCCTGCGCAATCTGTAGTCCAACACTATGTGCATTTACATCTCTACCTACGTTTGCTTGCATAATGCGTGTCATTCGTTTTTTTTAGATTTTTGCCTCCTTACCATACTTAATGGGATGGCGGTGGAAGTTTGATCACGCTCTAGGGGACTGGAGCTTTTAGTTCTCGGTAATGGTTGAGGGATTGAGCAAGCCCTTTATGGCCCGTTGCACGAATATGACGCAGTTGTGCCCCAGCAGAGTGGATGAAAACGCCTTAATCCCGTCGTGTTCGGGCTGGGCAAGAAGCATCAGTGGAGCTGTGAGGACCCGACAGTTTAGACGTTGTAGTGGGTGAATGCAAGGGCCTTCGTAAGCGTCCTTCCCGCAAACCCTGGATTTTTACTGGCAGAAATAGGTGCTGGTTGTTACAGGCTAGTGCCTTGTTTAGTTATAACCGGAGTTTATCCGGTTCATTTATCGAGAAGTCTTAGAGTATATGGCTTGGCTGGATTAAGGAGTTGTGTAAAGGATAACTCCTGTATAAATCCATACGCGACGCGCGGTATCGAGTAGATAAGCATGTCGTCTTCGTAGTTGTCAGGCGCAGGTTCACTGGGCGCAAGACTCGAGGCGTAGGAGAGGGCGTAGCGTACAATGTACTGAGGAAGAACGCCTCGTGGGAACGCGGAGGGCTTTCTAGAGAAGTGGTAAATGGGAAAGCGGGGAGTCGTTCTAGATAGAGGGGCCGGAGGTGACGGTAGGTCACTATGGTTGGCAGAGGACGAGAGTGAGATGTGATTAGAATAATGTAACTATTCCTAAAGACAGAAAACAAAGCGTGAAGATCTCAGCATCCTAAGTGAAAACTACATAACTATCCTCGCTAGGCAATAAGCCTAGTGGTGCTAAACAAGGAACCCATAAATCCTGCCTGGGGCATTTCTCTAGAATTCTTACAGTAGTACTTCTTTCTTTATACAGAGTATAAACTAATTTACGACAAACTTTCATGCGAATAGCTAATGTGATTAGTCCCTTCACACTGGTGGAGTGAAAACCGAAGCATTTGCTACAGATAAATAGTTAGCTTCGGTGCTGAACGTATTGTGCGCCCGTGGCTTGTCCGAATAGCTGCATTCGTGATTGGAACTTGTGCACCTTGGCTTCTAGGACGTGTATTCGTATATACCAGGCTAGTCTAGCAGATTCAACTGGACGTTTGGTCCAAGCTAGTTGACGGATGGGCATTGCATCCTTTATGGCCGATATGGCAAGTTCTAACTGGACGAGGCCATTGGCTGATTTAACAGCTCCATCCAGGGTGTTAACTTTTTTTGGGACAAGCCCAACAACAAAAATAATCCAAATTCCCCATCTTTTTACTGTGGTGCTATCGAATTGTGCGGCGATGGTATCTTTATGCTCGAGAATACTGCTCGCTTTAGCCGGAGTGAGTGCTAGTATTGCGATTCCTGAGAGCACTTGCCAGGCATCTACAAATGACCATGGGTCGGGAATGAGCTGTTGAACTTGCTGTCGGAGTAGGAATGGCTCCACTTTGCAAGCTTCATATTGACTATCAAGACGTATCATCATACGCTTATCTTCTTTGCTTTGGTGCTGTGGCGGAAAGAGTCTTCTCGGTGGCATGCGGAGATCAACATTTGTCCCGCTTGCGATTCCAGCTACAGTTTTAGCGGCTTAACTATTTCTGTTCCGGTTGATTACGTTATCATAAGCACCCGCTGAAGTTGTGGAGCTTCTTTACATCTCTTCCTTGCGGATTACTCGGGATACTCCATCGGAAATAAGGGCAATAAAGTCAGCTCCTGCTCCCAGGCAGACATCTTTCATTTTTCCCAGGTATGGGTCGACTAGGTTTAGAAAGCCTCTGGTTATCGACATGAGGTTAGTGGTCTGTGGGCTTATCTATGAGGCTGCGTCGTCTATGTCAAGCTGTTGTTTCTGTGGTAAGTGTTGTTCCAAATCCGTGGCGCTTCAAGGAAGATCCTTCTGAGGCGGCTGAAGGGGGATTTCTGAGTGTCCACTGGGACATGGAAGGTCGTCGACGACCATATTGGTGTGGGATAGGCTTGAGAGGGGTAACACAGCCTGTGAACCTTGAGGCGTAGCAATGCTGAACATTACTGCGATTATTTTCGAAGCGGAGCGAGTTATTGTGACAGCAGATAGCTGTTCACGCCCAGAATTGTCGACATGTTTGTGAATGCGCTTATTGGCATCCAACGTGTCGGACACACCACGTTTTCTTACGCGGGCCGGGGGCAACATATCTTCTAGCTAGAGAACACACGCAGATCTTATAGTATGCTTGTCAAAGTAGCTTTGTGATGCTGATGCAGCCTGGGACTATGTATGTTGTGTGTTGCGTGTGTAGGCAATTAGTTATTTATAGTAATTAATGTCGTGCCCGCGTAGAGCTCGTGAGCTCCTCGCGTATCGACTAGTCCAGTCTAAATTAAACTAATAGACGTGTTGGCGCCTATACAGACCCAGCAAAGCAAATAAAAGCCAGGATCTTATCATCCTGCGCTCGAAGATTATAGTATACATGAAGGTCGTCCGTCCGGCAAATCTCATGCTATGCAGATAGTACTAGATGAAGAAAAAAATATTTACAATAAAAATAAAAGGAAGAAATTGATCACATAAATTCGTGATTCCATTCAAGCCAGACTTGTCGTTGTGCCCTTTCGAAGAAATTTTTGGCTCGCATCCAGCTATGAAATGCATGGACTCCCTCCTCTGAAGCAAGAGCCCAAGATAGGCTGGGAGAGGAATTTAAAGCTCTGTAGACATGTGCCTAGAACTGCCCAAAGAGGCAGTAGAAAAATTGGTCGAAAGACATCTCTTCTCCACATGAGAAGGTGAAGATAGCGTTCTCCTGCTGAAACCTTTGGTGATAGTCCGAACTGGCAGTTAGTAGATATCCTAGTGTTTGCCGCCCGAGACGGGCGAGCTTGATAGTAATTTTAGTATTAGGGCCAATACCTAATTCTTTATGTCTAGATGGTACATTTTCTGCACAATAGAGTACAACGGAAGCCTCATATTGGACTTTGAATTCTCTCCTTGCCCTCGCAATGGAAAGTTATGAGTGTGAAGGAATATGGGCGTTGATCATACGATTTTTTAGTTCTTGGAAGGAAGCTCTGCATTCATCTGAAAACCAAAACTCTGCATCTTTGTGAATGAGACGAGTCAAGGGTTTAGCGATTACTCCATAATTCGGATGAGTCGTCGGTAAAACTTGCAAAATCCGAGGAAAATTTGTACTCCTTTGACGTTAGTTGGTTGCTTCCGATTTTTGAAAACAGAAATCTTATAAGGATCAACACGGATTCCGTCAATACCATCAGTGAGCCCCAGATATTTTGTCTTTTTTACGCCAAACTTGCATTTTTAATATCAACCTGAAGCCTGGCATCCCTCAAGCGTTGTAGGATAAGCTTGACTTGGGTTTCATGCTTGGAAAGATCGTCGGTGTAAATTAAGATATCGTCCAGGTAAACTGTGCAGAAGAAGCCCAGATAATCAAAAATAGTATCGCTCATGTTTGGATTTTGAATTTGAATTCAATTAACCCGATCAGGCACCCTATGAGTCCATGCAGGTGACTATCTGCATTATTTACAAAGGATGAAACCAATTTGGTGAAACCCCCCTGATCCTGTCTTTTTATGTTCCTATCAATATATTTGGTTTACCTTCAGGAAGTGCAGTGTACACTGTTCAGCCCGTGTGGATTCCGTCCTCTCCCCTTCCAGATCTATTTACTTTATCCGACATTGCTACCTCGACCTCTCCTGCCAGTCGAAACTGTTTTATCCACCCTTTGTTTAGTATCCACTGTGTAATTCTGGCCATGTCTTCTGGGCTGTTCATCATTGCTTTAAATGACCTGTCTTTAGCTTGTCGGAGAAAGTCGCCTCTTCCATTTGCCCACTGCGGACACGCCAACACCATTTGCTTGACGTTTTGCGACGGATATCCACATTGACAGCTTGGCTTTTCTACTCCGGGTACTTTTCTTCTGCTCGGGTAAGAATTGAGTCCGATATGCTCGCTCCTTAGCTGAATGGCGACAATGCTTTGGGCCCTGGTTAGGTTACGGTGGATTCTTAAGGGGGTATCTTTGAAGTTCATTTTGACGCTGCCTGTTTGCTTATCAGTAAATATATTTGCCGCTTTCCAATGTTCTGGATCGGCTGATGCTGGTCGGCCAGGACGATGTTTCCTGATCTGGCTTGTCCATGAATCCTTCCACTCCTGAAAGGCCGCTATCTTTCCAGCTTCTTTCTGCCTTCTCTTATCCTTTTCCCTTCCGCAAGTTCTTGTCCATTCGGCGATATCTTTACTCCTGGTCAATGCATGCGGAGTTTCTCTCCCGTTTGCGGGCAGCTTTGTCCTCTTACATGTCGATCGGATTGTCTCTTGAACCGGGAGTTTATCTGATAGTCCGGCGAGCTGGACCCTTATCGCTCATGTTGTAAATGCACTTTTCACATCAGTGGTAAATTGTTATTCAGGTAGAGTAGCATGCAGAGCTAGGGAAATGGAAACAGGTTGGTGATAAATTAAATACCACCGATCGCTACACTCACCCCTAGATCACTCTTAAGAGAGACTAGCTACGGCGCTATCTGGAAGTATGTGGGATTGGTTAATTATCATGTAGATAATCTGTAACATTATAACATAGCAACAACACAATACGATTACACTCTGTTGTAAATCTAGACTTAGTTTATGTAAAGGTTTAGATTTCTAAGTATGATCATCAAGATCAATTCAATTGATCCGATTGCATATGGTTAAGCGTAGCTGGGCGACATGAGGTTCAGTGGTATCTGAAATGCAGTAGCTAGGAAATGCTACCTTGCGATAATTGAGTGGCGGGTTGTTGCTAGATCACTGGGAGTTCGGGATCACTGATAACTTGGGGATCTGTATTCAATGATAGACTCATGTTTATGCGTTAAACTAAGTTAACGGAACATAATGTATTATTAATTCGTATTGAGAAGAGAGTTCGATATCACATACAACTATCAATAAATTCTTGTCCGAAATTGAACACTTGTTATCAAACTGTGGATAGTTTGGAAGCGACCAATGTGAGATATAGAGTTTAAGGAGTTAGGTTTGCAAAGCTTGGAGTCACTTATTTCGGAAAAAGGAGTTTCGCTTGGTTTGTAGCAATGGGAACTCTATATTTTCTTACTATAGATGTTTCGTTCCAAACCATGAGAAACTCGGTTCATGGGGACAAGTTGGGGACACACAGGGCATTTTCCATTTTCTGGACGTTCATAATCTAGATAGTAACAGATAGAGAAATGGCAGCCAGGAATTAATTGACAATTTTTACTTTTACTTCATACATTATTCAATTTGACTCGCAGAGTCTAACACTTGTTCTTCGAGATAATTCCTGCTAGAAATCCTTGACAATTTCTAACACATTCGCATCCCATCACATTATTGCCATAACCACCCAAGTGTATTCTAAGCCCCCTACGTAGTCACAACCATTCAAATGAAGATACCAAGTGTACACGACCATATACACCACCACCCTATAATTGTTCATATATCTCTGATAAGTAGCGGGCCCGTTTGTGAGATGGAACGGGAGAACACGATTGTCGGAATACTCGAGTGGCATTTATATCGCAAGCTTTCTATAGCAGTAATAACAATTGGTGGTAAACAGGTATCTTCATTCTTTTCTATCTAGCTAAAGAAAACACGTATATACAGCAGTTATCCCTCTCTCTAAAATTTCATGGGTAAATACTGAGCTGAATGGCTATTCATCATGAGCAATATATCAACGATCTTTCAAGAAACATGAGAGGCAAGGAGCACTGTACAAGGTGTTGCCTGGGTCAGAAAGGTGCTCAGTGTACTAGATAGTCTAAAACTCAAGTAGTACATTAACATCACTCACTCCCTCTCTCTTAATGCCATCCCTAAACAGGTAACTCAATACTCATCAACGTAATTAGTCATCATTTCTATAATAATTCATGAAAGGTCATTATTTCATTAGGACATTCGACAACGATACTTATAGGAACCATATCGAGTACAGAAAGTATTTAATTCTTCTGAACCAGGATGCATGTATATCCGGTGAAAGGCTCGGCGAATGTGCAACTTGGTGAATATATTTGCACTATTTAGGCGGGCGAGGGGTCTTTTTTCGTAATATTGTTGAGCTTTTAATAATCTACGCAAAATCTTAAACCTCCGTTTGGTTCTTTTAACGAATAAAACAGGGGAAGAAAAGGGCGCCTGACTGGGGATCATTCAGTCCCTGTCTAAGTTGTCCAATAAATACTATTTGAATTTTCGCAATTCTTCGCTGGATTGGTTGTAATGAGAACCATAACCTAGAAGTTCGTCGCCTTATTCTTCTGTTTTATGATCATACGGCCGATTAGGAGGAACAAAATCCGATGCGCTTCTTGAAAAGACATACAGGTAGTCGTGATATTGCGATGGACAAATTTGGCGATGTATATCTTGAATATTTTCACAATTTGCATAATCCGATTCTCGACAATTTAATTCGTTATCGATTTCTTAGAGACTAGTCGAGCAAGTTTCGGCGTCTTTGCGACGCGCCAGCAGGTTGAAAGTCACTGCAGAAGTTTCAAGGATATCAGCCTTCACTATATTGGAAGCCACAATCTGTTTTTTTTGAGTGATGGGGACGCTCATATAATCAGGGCTTAATTGGTCTCACTGCAAGGTATTTTGATTTTGATGAAGTAGTTAATGGCATCAATGATTCTAAGTGTAGGGAGTATCTCACAAATTTTCTTCTGAGAAGCGTACCGCATATTTTCTTCCGAATATTTCCTCGCCTTCAGGGCTATTATTTCTTGGATAAATGTGGCGTCTTTTCTGTCTGCGTCAATTTGGTGTTCAGGGATAGGATGAAATTTTTTCAGTTGAATATTGAGGTTACAGCAAAAAGAGAGTTTCTGTTTGGGAGGGGTGCGCTAAAATAGTTTAGGATTACGCAAGTCTGGAAGAACGTCGAAGTGAGCCATCCAACCGTCACCAAGTATGGCATCTTAGTTTGCGAGATCTAGAATAGGAAAAGGAATTTAGCTGAGAGAATATCCGTCAACCACCATTTTACAAACAAGAAAATGAGTAATGATACGTCCGTGCGAGCAGTTATAACTCTCTGGTATGATGGGTCTGGGTAGAGCCATAGGCCGGATTTGTAGGCGGTCACAGACATTTTCTGCTAC